GCAGGTCGGCTCCGGCGGCCCCCCCCGCAGGGCAGCCCCGCCCCCGCTGGACCACGCCCCCCCCCCACGTTCCCGTCGTAGGGGAGGGGCGAAGGCAGAGCAGTGTGAAGCCACTGGGCCCAGCCGGCGTGGGGGGAGTTCGGTGGCACCTGAGCAGAGGCAGCGCCAGTTCATTCAACCCGAGGAGAAATACGCAGTGCCACCCTGGAGCGGGGTGGGAGGCCGGGACGGGGAGCCGGGTGGCTAACCCCTGGTCCTATCCCATCAAGTGGCACAAAACCTGGTCCTGACAATTTTCTGCCTCCGGGGTCACGCTTCTGAGCCCAGCAGACGAGATGTAAAGCCAATTCGAACACTTTGAAACAAAGACTCAGTTCATTCAATGCAAATTTATAGAGTAGTCTAGGTGCTGGGGATTTAGTAGTGAAGCAAGGAGACAAAAAAACACGCCCTCGAAGAGATTACATTGTAGTGGGGGACAGAGGAAAGACAGTAGACCATCTAGAATGTTGATGGGGCCAGTAAAGCAGTTGATGGGAGTGGTGGTGGGGGGGATGGTTTGCAGATTTAAACAAGGTGGGCCAGCAAAGCCTCAGGGCGGTGAGGATGCTTCAGCAAAGATGGGAAGGAGGTGAGCTGCCCAGGTCTTGGGGGAGGAGCCTTCCAGGCCGGGAGGGTCTGTAGGCAGGAAGGCCCGAGGTGGGAGCAGCCTGGGAGGTGGGAGAGGGCAGGGAAGGGTGAGAGAAAGTCTGGAGGCAGGAGATGAGGTGAGAGGGTCTTCCCTGGAGGCTCAGCGGAAAATACAAAGCTCTTAGAGCTTAGAACTGAGGCTGGCACACAGTAGGTGCTCAATGAGTAACTGTTGAATCAATGATATGAATTATGTTTCACAAAAACACTCGTGGTGCTGAGTTGAGAACACACTGATGGGTATGGGTGGTGTCAGGAGGCCACATTAGGAATCCAGGTAAGAGGTGGTGGTGATTGGACCAGTGAGGGACAGCCAGGAGAAGGGCTCAGCTTCTGGGTATGTTTGGAAGGACTCGCCGACAGATAGGATGCAAGGATGAGAGGACTCCTAGTTCTATGTCCTGAGCCCTGGAAGGAGAGGGATGCTCTGTCCTCAGAGGAGCAAGGTTGGGGTGGGTGGACTCAAGTTCCTCACTAGACACGAGATGCCTGGTCGACATCAGAGTGCCCGTGTGGAGATTGTTCTGCAAGCCTGGAGTTCCAGGAGAGATCTGGGGCTGCTGGGCCCCCACCAGCATTCCCACCCTTGATGTCGGGTCCCACCCTGAGGACAGTGTCTGCAAGTGCAAGCAGAGAGCCCAGGGTGGCAAGGGCATTCACCCGAGGAGGGCTAGTCTGCCAAGAGTTCCAGCTTATCTCCTGGATTCACCCGAAGGTGAATCATCATCATCATCATCGTCATCACCATCATCATCATCATCATCATCGTCGTCGTCATCGTCATCGTCATCATCATCATCATCATCGTCATCGTCATCATCACCATCATCGTC